GAATGAATAGTTATTTTCTCTATAAGTTTCAGAACTGTTGCATTTCTACAGCTAAAGCTGTGGTAAAACATAGCAAATGAATGTGCATTCGTGTGTATTTCATGGCACATTAAAATTGTATGGTCACGTCTGGTCTTTCCATTCCTTAATTAAGGCACCAGGATAGCTATAGTATAAGGAATTGTGGGAGCCAGTGATGTATTGGAAGGCAGGAGGCGATACTCAGTAGGGCAGTCTGGTCATTAGAAACCACCTGCATTTCCCAGGGAATCAGACAAGAATGCTGCAAATCAAAGAAGAACAAGGGGAAAGTCCCACCATCTCCCTTGGCTCATGCCTTCCTTCCTCTCCACTGACTACAGCACTGACCCATCCATCAGGCTGGGACATGGAATACTCAGGGGCCTCATGCACAGTGATGCTCAAGCCCACACACATAGACCCTGACTCATCATAGCAGAAGTTTAAAGATTTGGAAATTAACTGCTTATTCTCAGGCATGAACTCAGGTCTAACATCCAGTTTGGGAGTAGGTCAGGGGCCATGTTATTAGTTTTTTTCTACAGATGGTCGCTGGCACGATGGTTCGGCTTACAATTTTTCTCTTCTAGCATGGTGCAAAGCCTTATGTATTCAGTAGAAATCGTACTTTGAATTTTGAATTTTTATCTTTTCCTAGCTGGTGATATGCAGCATGATACTCTCATGATGCTGGGCAGTGGCACTGAGCCACAGCTCATAGCAAGGCATGCAATCAATCACAAGAGTAAGCAACTGATAGCCTACAGTGTACATGTTGCCAGCGTTATTTACAATAAGTTTATTGGGATGCAAACCCATAGCTAAGTCAAGGAGGATCTGTACATTCTAACCCATTCATTATCTGAGAGTGGAATTAATTTTAAATGTGTATAGGAAGTAAAACTGAGAACTGATCATCAAAGGGACTTGGACAGTTAAGAAAAGAGGAAGGATAAACACCTGGGTTTCTGGTTTGGTAATGGGTAAATCTCAGTGCCATTCATCTCAATGTGGAATAAAAGGAAAGAAACAAATCGGAGGGAAAGGTAATGTGTTCGTTTAGGGGGGTCAGGATGGTTTTTTGATACCTGTGGAAATTACAGATAGCAATGCACAGTAGTTAATTAGAAGTTTAGTTTTAAACTTTCAGAGAAAGCTATGGGCTACAAATAGACTTGTGATTGTCAGTATAAACTTAGTAGTGGAAGCCATTGACCCCCCCCCCCCAGTTTTATATATTTAAGATGTATAATGACCAGGTTAATTAAAACATCCATCACCTCGCAGTTACCTTTTTGTGTATGGTGGCCCTGCTTAAGATCTATTTTCAAATGCCCTATTGTCTCACTGATTGTGGAATCTTAAAGAAACTAAATTTATAGATATAGGGAACAGAGGTGGGGCATGGAGGGTGAACAACCTTCCAGTTATAGAATAAATAACTCATGGGGAAGTGAGTATAGCATGGGGGCTATAGTTAATAATATTGTATTTTATACTGAAAAGTTGCTAAGAGATTTAATCTTAAAAGTTCTCATAAGAAAAAAAATTCTAACTACGTGGTGATAGATGTTAATTAAACTTACTATGGTGAGCATTTCACAATATATACAAGTACTGAATCATTATGCTGTTCACCTTAAACTAATCTAATGTTATATGTCAATTATACCTCAACTTTAAAATTTAAAAAATTTCTTCTATATCTATAAAAGGCTAAGTTGACTCACACATGCGCAATACATATAAAGTCTCACTGGTGCCAACTGCACACATGTGTTCCCACCTGTCGTTGTCAACCATGAATTTGGTTGACATTTCTATTATAGAGAAAGGGCGAATAGCAATATTAAAATATTTCTTCTAATTAATTTCCTTTCAATGTACATGAATTTGTGCACCAGGCCACTAGTTATTAATAAATTTCAAGTACACAACATATTGTTATTAACTATTACCACCATGCTCTCTATACATTAGATCCCCAGAGCTTATTTATCTTATAAAGTTACATACATTTTTAGTAATAAAGTTAGTCATTTTCTCTTTTGGGACCTTGGTTTAAAATGTCATGGTCTGAGTATCACTGCATTTTCTCTTCTTTGCAATGGCAACCTTACTGATATCTTGATTGTATCTCTGCCTCTCAGCCACCTAAGGCATCTCATCTTTAGGTGTAGTTAAAGGACATGATAATGAATGGGATTCAACCAGTTCAAAATCTCAGTTCAGTTCTGATAAACCACAAGAGATGAACTTAGCATAAGTTATGTAGAGAGAAAAGTGGGAAAAGATGAATACCATTTGAATAGGCCAACATCAAAAAATAATCTAACATAGAGCTAATATTTCTGAATACACACGTTCCCTTTCCTCATAGCAAGTCAACTTTCTTTTGAGGTGGACATAAAGTAATCAATGCACTCTTCAGGGTATTTTTAATGAGTGTTTTCGCATCAGGAGCACATGTACATACTGTCCCTTTATATTGATAGCTGTGGGCTCTGCTCTCGAAATGTACAGATAAAAGAGTTCACTTCCTTATATTTAGTGTATTATTAATGTATATGTTGTTTTATCAGAATGACTCACCAAAATAGAACTATTCAAACCTTTCTGAATGATTTTTCACTTCAAAATTTGGGAATTATGCTATATTTCATTACAAGTGGCCAGAGTGATTGTTGCAATGAGCCCTCATTTCCCCATCCCAGCCAGCAGACATTCATTCTTCAAAACAGTGGAAATTCACTTCTTCTTTTGAAAATCTACCATTTATTAAATAACCACCCCATTGCTGCCCAGATAACCATTTGGAACAGCCCATCATCATTAATGATGGCAATATCATTGCTCTGGGACAAGTTGCAAAATAGCCAAAGAAACACATCTGTCATCTACCTTTCAGGTTCTAAAGGGAAGTGAACTTGAGATTATAATGCGTCTAGCTAGGGTTCTCTTTTCCTAGAAGAGAATGTAAAGGGAAAATGAATTCTTTACCTTATCGGTTTGTTGGTTGGGATTTTTGGTGTGGGCATTTATAATGGCCCACTATGAATTGCCGTAATAGTACATAACACATGGAAAATATTTGCTTGACCGGACAGAGGTTTTTTCATGTTTGGCAGCTATTTGAAGGGTCCAGAGGGGGCATTTCTAGAAAGTTTCTCTTTTGTGATAGTAAAATACATAAGGGGTTCATTTTTATATTAAATTCTAGATCTGTTTTAATCTGGTCCCTCCCTCAGTATAATTGCAAAAAGTAGCTGCTAACCAAATTCTCCGAGTTTAGTATTATTGAATGTATCTTTTTTGGCTATTATTTTAAGTAATTCCATACAAGCTTCATGAATGGATGCAACCACCCCAAAACTTAGTGGCATAAAACAATATTGTGATCTTGGATTTTGCAAGTCAGTAACTCAGATGGGGCAACATGAGGATGGTTTGTTTCTGCCCAGTATGTCTGGGGCATCAGTTGGGAAAATTAATGGCTGAGGGAGCTGGAATCATCTAGAGGTATCTTCACTCACGTTCTGGCTTCTGGGACTGGTGTTGGCTGGGACCTCAATGAGCTGTTGGCCAGAACCTCTGACGGTGGGGTGCCTATGAGCCACAGTGTGGTGGCAGCTTACATGATGGGTATGAACATGCATGAGACCCAGACCTGCAGCAACCACCTTGTAAGGAAGGGAAATCCCTGAAAACAAAGGTCAGAACACAAGATGGCAAAGCTGTGAAATGGAAAGAACCAGAAGCATTGAATTAATCTTGAGTACTCTACCTCCAACTTCCTGTTCAGTGAAATAAAATTTTCTGCATGTTTTTTTAAAGAATGGGTTCAATATTATACAATGCTAAGAGGACATTTGAACTGTGAAGAATATCTTTACCATCTGAGAACATGGACATGGATGTGCATGAATTTAATGTGCAAATAGTATCTTACCTTTTATCAACATTTCCCTAATTATTAGTGAGACTGAACATCTTTTTATAACATGGTGGCATATAAATGTATTTTCCTGTCAATTCATGTATCTCTTTTCCTGTGATTACCTCTTTATAGCTTTTCCCCATTTTATTTGAATTGGTTGCATTGTTCTTTATTCATTTTTCAGTCTAATTTACATATTAAGGATGTGAACCCTTTTTGTTACATTGTGTAGTGTTGCAGATATGTTCCCTATTCAATGACTGTTTCATTCTTTTTATGGAGAAATAGTATTCCATTACATGGATATACCACATTTTACTTATCTATGTGTCTATTGATAGGCATTTGGGTTATTTCCAAATCTAGGTTTTATGAATAATACTGCTACGAACCTCATATAAACTTTTGGAGTTTGTTACATTCCAATAAAAAAATTCTGTGGGAATTTTTATTGCAATTGCATTAATTTATAGATTAATTGGGGAAATTTTATTACAATATTTCATATTTCCATCCAGGAAAATTGTTTTCCTTTATAGTTACTTAGGCCTTATATATTGCCTGCCATGAAGTTTTATCGATTTCTTCATAAAATTCTGGTGCATTTCTTTTTTATAATTTCTACTTATTTATAATGTTTTTTCATTTTGAATGGAACTTTTAAATTAAAATTTCTATTTTGTGAAAGCACTGAAAAGAAAGGGGCACAAAGGAAAAGCTTACAAATTACACAGGACAGAATTCTGGGGCGAGGCAGTCGCAGCTGTCATCTCCCTCCCCAGATGCCGAGGCAAAGGTGAACGGCGAAATTGTTTCATAGTTTGAGAATTTAATTGCTCTCTGGTGTCACCAGACCATGATGATTTCCTGTGAAAGGTTTTCCTTCTGCGACACCATGCAGGAGTTGAGCAATCATGGGAGGGCATTTATATTATTGGCCCCAGCATTTTAGGTGCCATGTTAATGATAGCACTGCCGCATCTTACTACTGCCTACATTTTAGAATGTGACTAAATGCATCCCTTTTATTGTTCTCTTCCAGGATTTCCAATGAACACTCCCCCAAACTCCAGATCCGGAGTCACAGTTACTTGAGGGCAGTAAGTGAAGTCTCCATCAACCGAAGCCTGGACAGCCTTGACCCTGCAGGCCTGCTCACGTCACCGAAGTTCCGCTCCAGGAATGAGAGCTACATGCGAGCCATGAGCACCATCAGCCAGGTGAGCACCTTGGCCGCAGGCCATTAACTGCACAAGGGTTACTGGACACTGAGAGTGACGAGGTGAAGAGTCAGTCATTCCCCCAGGAGACCACTGCTGAATCAGGCAGGAGGCCTGGTCTGAATGCTGCTTGCGTTTGGCCCCTGATATCAACAATCTACCAGCAGGTGAGGGGTCTTCTGCAGATAAATAAAGCACAGCAGGGGAGTTCTTGGAAATTCATGAGCATCAGTAAATTTGTCAGCAAGAAGTCAATAGATGAGGCTTCAGTTGTAAGATGCTCAAAGGATTAAAGGACATGGTAGACCTCACTGGCAAAACCAAGGCAGTGTCCAATCATAAAAGCACAAGTATTAAGCAGGCCAGCAAGACAAGAAATGAGATACAATCTATTTACCTGCAGTGGGTCCTAGGTGAATAGTGTGGCTTGGTAATGAGACAGAAGTCCACTTCTAAGAACTGGTACACAGGACTGGAGATGAAGACTCAAAGTTTGCCCAGCCAGCATAGCTCAGTGGTTGAGAGTTGACCTTATAAACCAAGAGGTCATGGTTCCATTCCTGGTCAGGGTACATTCCCAGGCTTGATCCCCAGTGTGGGACGTGTAAGAGGCAGCTGATCAATGATTCTCTCTCATCATGGATGTTTCTATCTCTCTCTCCCTCTCCCTTCCTCTCTGAAATCAATAAAAATATATATTTTTTAAAAACACTCAATAAAGGCAACATATTCAGCTAAAGCTTTTCTAGTCTCTCCCACTCAGGGTCTCAGAGGGCATGGGAGAGCGGTGTACTGCCGAAGCTTGGGGTGAAAAGAACCTGGGACTCTTGGGGCATTTGACCTTGCAGCTTTCAGGGGTCACCAGAAAAGCAGAAAGTACCTCAGAAGCTTCCTCTGGAAGGACAAAATAAAAAAGGTTATTTTAATGATGCGTAGGAACACTTCATTTAAAGTTATCTCACAATTTAAGAAATACGCAATATGCTATTAATTCAGCTAATACTAGTATTTGTTGAGCGGAACACTGAGCTGGATTATGCATGCTATTCAGTGATGAATACAACATAATCCCTGCTGCCACCACCCCCAAAGCTTACAGTCTAATGGAAAACATACAAAAAAATTTTAAAAGTGCTGGCATAAACATTATTTTCTTGAACACTGCAAAAACACTCTGAGATAGGTAGGGCAGGAATTAACAATGAAGCCACCTTTACTAGGTCAGGCACTATGCCAATTGCTTTATATTTTTAAAATATTAGTCCTTATAAGCACCCTGTAAGATATGTAAGTAACCAGATGTTAAATGAGACTGTCTTTATGGTCATGAAATTGTCAATAAGATCCTGAAGCAAAGGAGAAAAAGATACTAAGTACCCAGATTCTAAAGAAAAAGCTTCTAGGCATTTTAACAAATAAAGTAGTATCTGATTCTTAACTTTGAAAAATGCTAGCCTGAAGCATTACAAGGAATAGCAAATGCTCGGGTTTAGATGGAGCTTAGAATACTTGTAGAGGCAGCAATGGAAACCTATTCCGAATTTTATTCTGGAGACATTTTTATACAAATGGTCTTGCTTGGCAGGCCCAATGGACTGGACTTTATTCATTAGGAATGGGATTGATTAAAGATTAATTAAAACTTCAGCTTTTAAGCAAGCAAGAAATCTGATCAGAATTTTGACATAGGATAATTAATCTGACCAAAAAATGTGGAAATATTGGAGACGATGTGAGGCTAGAGGCAGAGAAGCTAGTTTGGAAGACAGACATTGTGATCATCAAGGTGAATTAACGCTATTAATGGTGCTGTAGAGCTGGTGATGGTGATGATGATGGTGAAGATGGTGGTAACAGTGGTAATGGTGGTGGTAGTAGAGATGGTGGTGATGATAGTGATGCTGGTGGTAGTGGTGGTGATGGTGGTAATAGTGATGATGGTGGTATGGTAATAGTGTTGGAGAAGATGGTGATGATAGTGATAGTAGTGTAGTGATGGTGGTAATAGTGGTGGTAGTGATGGTGGTGATGGAGATTGTGTTTATGGTGGTGATGGCAGTGATGTTGATACAGGGAAGTGATAGTATAATGTGGTGTTGGTATAGATTAGACAAATAATGCATTTGAACAAAAAATGATGATATTATAGGCTAAGCATGGAAGCATCTCTGATCTCTGAGGGAGTCCCTTAAATAGAACCATAGCTCTCACTTCATCCCTACTCCCTGATCTACATGGATTCTTGAAGAGCAAAGAAAGACAGGGACCACAGTGAGGTTCTAAGAGCAGAGCAGGGTGGGAGACATGGAAAACTGGCATGTGAAATGTCAGCATTTCCTTACTTTAAAGAAATCTCTAAGAGCATGCATACCTATGTTTGCTAGCTGATGCTGCCCAGTGATGCTCACAAACGCAACTCTCAGGGAAATAGTTGCTGCCTCATTTGGTGAAGTTTGGACTTGTCTGTCCTTATGTTTTCACAATAAACAATATAATACAACATTTAAAACTTCTTTAAGCTTATCTTTATTCTGGACAGCCTCATGATCACATAGTCTTCTGCAATTATAAAATCATCTATAAATACAATTGTTATGTGAGCAGAATACATCAGTGGGCTTAAAATTTTTTATAGGAAAAATGTTTATACACATTCACTGCTTTTATAATTTTACACATTTAAAACAGGAGCACATGTCACTTCCCCCAATGGGACATTGTGTGTCACTTCCCCCATCGGGATAGTGTGCCCATGCAACTGCCTGCTAGTAGTCCCTGAGCCAGAGACATGACCTTCTGTGAGACAATATTACTTCCTAGTGAGAGTTAATGAGATATCAACAAATTACCGAAGAAGCATGTTGATACTGCAGCAGGCAAAGCTCTGCAATTCAATGGTATCATCATTTCACCTTAAGTAAAATACAGGAAGAATAGCCATCCTAAATGGATTCCTAATGATACCTCATTTTTCTAGTTCTATATTCAATTATCAGGTAAGACAGCATCTTTAAGGATAATTTCAACTTTCAATTGCAGTTCCAATATTGCCATTATTCAGAGAATAGTTTCTTCTTCAAAGCAATACTACCCATATATACATACTCTAGACTTTTCAAAAAGTGGTAGACTTTTATAATGTTGAAGATATGCTTTCTTATAAATCATTAGTAGCAACCCTAACAGTGTAGAATTTAAGTGCATTATATCCTGTACCCTTTTAAAACTTGATACATATATTTTTCAAAGTCTCCTAGAAAGAGCAAAGTAAAATGTTGTAAGCTAAGAAATTGGCCTAGAATAACTAAATTGTATGTTTGACATTCCTACCCCACAGAAATAAAATAACCATAAAAACAGATTGTGCTTGAATGTTAGATAATAATTGAACATCATTTTATATGGTTACTCCCTTTTTATGTTTTGCTATATATACATCTAATAAAAATGAGGGCTTTTAAAAGTAAGGCTTGCCCCAGCTGGTTTGACTCAATGGATAGAGCATCAGCCTGAGGACTGAAGGGTCCAGGTTTGATTCCTATCAAGGACACACGCCCAGGTTGCAGCTCAATTCCCAGTAGGGGATGTGTAAGAGGCAGCCAATCAATGATTCTCTCTCATCATCATTGATGTTTCTCTCTCTCTCTCCCCCTTTCCCTTCCTCTCTGAAATCAATAAAAATATATTTTAAAATAATAATAATAGTGGTAGTAGTAGTAGTAGTTATGATGAAAATGAAAAGAATGTTTGTATACATTTAGTAACAATGTATTGTTTACCAGATACAGTCTGGAAGCTTTGCATAATATCTCATTAATTTCATATGAACTATAAGAAAGATCATTTTTTATTTACAAAACTCAATCTGAGAGAATAATTTGTCTCATTCTTCTCACTATATCGAAAAATAGTATAAGCTACTTATGCAGTGCCTACCATATGCCTAGAAATATAGTATATATTTATATATATTACTTTATTTTTATCCTTAAAGCATCAATATGGGGTAGGTATTATTTTAACCATTTTACAGATGAGGGAAGTGAGGCCATCTATAATTATTTGACCTATATTTATGTATAAATTTGATAAAGAATAATCTTTTTATATGAAAAAGTAGTGTCAAGCATTCAAAAATATAGTTATTAATGATACTAAGACTAACAGCAGGCTAAAGTGGGACAGAACATATAGGTTATGTGCTCTTATAATGTAAATATAGTACAACTATTCTAAAATGAGGAAAGAATGGAGAGAGCATATGTACCCCGCCCCCCAAAAAAAAGAATTAACTGTTTTCAGTAATGATATGGTCAGTGGTAGTATTAATGTGTTATTATGAGGCTGTTGTGCATGTATTGTGGAATAAAGCAAGTGAATAATTGTAGGATATCCCAATCCTGTCATCTTTGTGTGCACGAGAAGCAGAATTTAGTATGGAATAAAGAAATAATTATAATATAAAAGAGATGGGTTTGAAATGGAGGAATTCATAACCTAGGAACAATGACCAACAAGTAGCAATGACAACAAAGCTTCCTAGTGAGCAGATTGTGTTCTTGGGTAACAGTTCCCACTAATAGAAACGAGGGATTTGGGGGGAAATACTGACTCCAGGACTGGGCAGGAAACGTATGAGATGAGTTTAGAATACCTTGTCATACCGATAGCAAGGAAGCTACTTGAGACTACTAGCTTCAGGTCAAAAGGACTCAGGAGCCAACCAAAGAGGTGCTCACTGGCCAAAGCTGAGACAAATTCCAGTTCACTAAGAATGATAAGTGAATTCTATTTAAAACCATCAAATGTTTTTACACCTATGAGTTTATTTTGATATTTTTAAAAGTACAGTTCACTTTTGGTAGATAAGAGGGAACAAATGTATTACCCTAAAACTTAGTAAATAAAAGTGAAAATTCCTTTTTCCTGTAGTTCCCATATGAACTAAACCATTGGGTAACCAAGTAATATGAGAGGAAGCATTTCTTTATAAAACTATTCCTAAATAGTAAAAGTTGTTGGAAATAAAATATCACCATTATGCAAACCCTCAATGAGTTAATGGATCTGGACGTTTGAGCACGAATAACTCCTAACAACATAAGAGACAATTCACACATGATGTGCCTCCTAATGAAAGAACACATGACTTCTAGTCTTGCCAAAGGGATTGAGCCTGAGTCTGATCAAAATTTCTGATCCAAAGAAAAAGAAAAGAAAAATATCTGGATCCAGCTTATACTTTTCAGGAAATATAAAAGACAAAGAAAGATATATGCTAAATCCTACTGTAAATATGAAATCTGCAAATCCAAACTATGGTAATCTCTACAGGTCAAATGACCCAGATGTTTCAATGGATGAATATGATTTTTAAAATGGATGAAGGAAGACCTGTATGTTAAACATGAATTAAAAGATACATTAAGCCGAAACCGGTTTGGCTCAGTGGATAGAGCATCGGCCTGCCGACTGAAAGGTCCGAGGTTCGATTCCGGTCAAGGGCACATACCTGGGTTGCAGGCACATCCCCAGTAGGAGATGTACAGGAGGCGGCTGATCGATGTTTCTCTCTCATCAATGTTTCTAACTCTCTATCTCTCTCCCTTCCTCTCTGTAAAAAATCAATAAAATATATTTTTTTTAAAAAGATACATTAAATATTTAAAATGTGTACAACTAAACTACAGAATACAGGAATGCACAATTGGGTAAAAAAGAAAAGAAAAAGAAATGCAAAGAAGTGATTGCAATAGAACTCAGAGTATGAGTTACTCTTGGAGGGAGGGTGGGGATTGTGGTTAGGATGGAGCTTATGGAGGGGCTGATGAGTGCCTGGAAAAGTTCTGCTTCTTGCTCTGGGTAGTGCTTATACAGGTGTTTTCCTTATTATAATCTGTTGAGTTATACATGTTTTGTGTTTGGTTTTACTTTATGATTCAATGTTTATGAAAAATAGCCAGGAGGACACATATACCTGTAGAAAGCTAGTTATTCACGTGTAATAGTTACCTTCACAAGGATGGATGTACTATTTCTTTGTGATGTTTGGCAAAATGGTGACTAAAAAGGAAAATGTAACAAGTGATACATATACATGTTTACATAAATACATACACACATACATAGTAAAAGCTTATTTTGCTTTTACTTTGAAATCATTTAAAACTTACAAAAGAATTGCATGTAACTCTCTCTCCTTGACAATGAATTGCAAATATCATGTCCCTTTAAGTCTCCAGTACTTCCTAAAAAAACATGTATATAGATCATCTAGATTTAATTTTCAATGTGGACATATATAATTAGCCTCAAAAGCATGCAGGGGTTATATAAAATTAGATGAAGTATGCTAAAATACTATTTTAAACTCTAAAGAATTTTTAAGAAATCCATGTCTTTTCCACTTAGTATGCTTTAAAGAAATTGGTCACTTTTATCTGAAGTTTCAAGAATTAGGCATTATTGGAGGGAGTCTTCAGATAACATAAAATGAGGAAAGAGTCAAATATTGTAATAGTTTTCACTATGTATTCTAAGCTTAGTTGCAGTTTAACCTGTTAAATTCTCAATTACTCATGAATTTGATGTTAGGAAATTAGACATGAAGTTTTGAAAGGAACCAGAAAATTGAAGAATGCTCCCACATCTCTGCAAAGTGGGAACTGGAGCACTGGGTCTGGCTTATTTATTTATTTCCGTATTTATTTTTTAGAGGGTGCTCAAGCCCAATGTAAGTTATACACAGAGGCATATAAACAAATAAAAACTGATTCCTCAAAAAAGAGAAGGCCTCATTTGGAAAATGTTTACAACACATTTATAAATAGTGGACCATGGCTATCAGTTCTTTAAAAAGGAGAGCATAACCTTTTTAGATAGTACGTAGTTTGAAAATCTTGATAGTGCTTTTCCAGATTTTGACATTGCAGCTTTGTTCTATTTTGGGGCAGAATATGAGTATCTTGTTGGAAAATATAGGGCCTGTTTTATACTTTACACTAAATTTAACTTCAGTCTACACTGAAATTATTTGATGAACTAATCACTTCCAAAAGCACAATAAATACTAGTTTCTAACATGTTTGTGCTGGAAGTGCTTCTGTTGAAATACATGAACTCTGACATGGACCGATAAGACTGTTCCCTGGGTTTGCGTTTATAAATAAGGAGAATAGCCCCTGGGCAGCACTGGAATAACCGTAATGTAGAGGAAAGCCAATGCGTTGGCGTTTTAGCCATCGGGCGCTGCTTTCTGCTGGGGAGCTGCGCTTTGGAGGTGCTGGAAGGGAGAGATCACCTGCCCACTGGGCGGGAGGAGGCACACTCCGGAGTGACAGCGCCCTGTCTGTGCCCGCAGGTGAGCGAGATGGAAGTGAACGGGCAGTTCGAGTCCGTGTGCGAGTCGGTGTTCAGCGAGCTGGAGTCCCAGGCGGTGGAAGCTCTGGACCTGCCGGTGCCCGGCTGCTTCCGCATGCGGAGCCACAGCTACGTGCGGGCCATCGAGAAGGGCTGCTCCCAGGACGACGAGTGCGTGTCCCTGAGGTCCTCCTCCCCGCCGCGCACCACCACCACCGTGAGGACCATTCAGAGCAGCACGGGTGAGTGAGCAGAGCGGCTGTCCCGGGGCGCAGGCTGGCCTGGCGCCCGGTGTGCCACAGCCCCCGTAGACAACACACTGTGTCCTTGTGGTTACCACACAGTCACCATAACAAAATATCTCCCACACCCTGCAAAGCCTCTGGCCACATTCACGCCCAACCTTCTTTCTCCATCACCATCTCTGCTTTCAACAGAGAAAAAAATATGCAACTAGGGGACCAGGAGGGAGAGCACAGGGGACAGGTCTTCACAAGATCCCCACACAGCATCCTAGGCGCCAGCAAAGTCATCCCCAACAACGCTACTCTCCATAACCAGCTCTGACTTCAAGGGGTGTGACCCTGAAACAAGCCACACACCATGGTTGTTGAGCATCACAGAGGTGGCATGCTCTTCTAATTGCAAGATACCCACAAAATGCCTATCCCCAAAGGCCTGAAATGAATGATCCAGTCATATTGATTGCACATTTTCCGAGTTCCCTTTCGTTGTAACAGAAGGCAGATTTATTTCATTATTTTAAAACCTCTGACTGTCATATGTATAGAGCACCTCCTTTCCCCTCTAAATTGAAGTTAGGGTTATGCCTTTAAACTGTATTTTTATCAGTAGATTTTAGGCAGACAGGCACAGAAGAGCTTAACTGGTTCCCATGACACTGGGACCCGCACAAGAATGCAACCATGAGTTATGTACAACAATGCGTGTGTGTTTTTATATTTATGACACTTGTGTCCAAGAAGAAAATCCCCTCCATCTTAACAAGTCTTAACTTTATGATTAAATTTAGCATCACTCCAGTACAGAGTAGCTCTACGAGATCATCAATCCTAGCATCAAGATAAATAATGATGACTAAATTAGAAGAAAGAGCTTATGCCATAATATTGTATTATTCCATTTCTGTTCTAGGTGCATCAAATGTCTGAAATTGAGAATAAGTCCTCAAACCTGAGTTAATATCCTACTAACTAGAAATATGAGGTTGAAGTAGGAATTTGGGGGAGAAAAAATATTAGAGGCTAAACAACAGGAGTTCCTTCCTGACCAATGCAAAGAGGTGCCCCCAGACATGGCACTGGCCCCTCAGGGAGCTCAGCCGCTCTTCCCCACGGCCATCTCCAAGCAGAGAGTGCATGTGCGTTCTTGTTCACTCAGAAATTCTGTAAGAACAACCACAGATGAGGTTTATAAATTAAATAAGGCTGATTTATGCAATGGAAAGCTATTTGTTTAATTATCATGGGCATATTTATGTGTGTGTTTACATTCGTGCAGTAAGTGCAGTTTAAAGGTCTGCCCTGTGCCTGTAGCACATCACTGTCTTTGGGTGTTTTCTCCTTTTCATCATCCCCACCCCACACATGACCCGTTTCCAGTGTCTGCTCCATTCCTCACCCTAGCAGTCTCATCGCCTGCCAGCTGCTCTTCTGTACTGAAACCACGCCTTCAATACACAAAATGCAGATGCTTGCTCAGAAGAACGAAGAGAAGGAGAAGGGCCACTGGCTCACTCCTTCTGCCTCAGGGGGTGTTATCGATAAAGTGGCAGGGGACTCCAGATGGCTTATGTTTTGCTCACCACTCAGAGGATTTCTTTGAGAGACAGCTTACTTATACTTCCTGCAACAGTTCTTGTCTCATGGTCTTCACACCAAACACCTGACCTTTCTAGGACCCTTCCAGCTACTCTGGAGGTTCCCGGAGTTCAACAACAGGGTTACCAGATAAAATCCAGGTTGCCAGTTGAATTTAAGTTTCAGATAAATAGTGAGTAATTTTTTTTGTGTGTGTATACCCCAAATATTGCAGGGAACGTACTTCTACTACAAAACTGTGTGTAGTATTTGCTGGATCTGACAAGCCTGTCCAAGGAGATGAGAGGTGGTCCACTCCTCACTCTGTTGTTATATTTAGAATCCAAATCGGATTTTATATTTAGAATCCAACAATTGAAGGATTGGAGGGGTCCTCTGTGGGAGAACACCCCAAAGTAGGGAGAAGTAAGCAAAAACGCCGTGGTCATTGCATCTGCTCTTCTCGGGCTCGGTGCGTCTCGTCCTACGCCATGGGCCACAGCCTGCAGCTCTCCGGGTGGGAGGGTGGCAGGCGTGGCTGCAGCTGCAGGCAGGTAGGGTAGGAAGATGTGACTTGCCTTTGGAGTGGACAAGTATAAAATATCAGATTTTTGTACAGGGCTTCACCCTTACATCAAACTGAACATTAAGATGTATTATCTTTACAGTCATGGAAAAATTACCCATTAAAGGAGTTATAAACCATTACAATAGGTTCTAAGTATGCACCTCAGATATTTAGAAGTACAACCTTAAGAATTTTAATATCACCTTTCACAGTTTCTCTATCCCATAGATTTGTTCTTTTTTAAGCCATTGTTTTATGGTATAAGATTATGTATCCTTCATTCTACCCTCCCATTACTTCTACGTGCCTCTCTACCTATCTTTCTCTCTCCCCTCTCTCCTTCTCCTTCTCCTTCTCCTTCTCCTTCTCCTTCTCCTCCTCCCTCTCCTTCTCCTTCTCCTTCTCCTTCTCCTTCTCCTTCTCCTTCTTCTTCTTCTCTCTCTCTCTTTCTCCCTTTCCCCCTCTTTTCTCTGTCTCCTCTCCTCTGCTCTCCTCTTCTACTCTCTCTCTCTCATTTTCCCCTTCTCTCTCACATAACCACAATATTATTATACTAATTTTCTTCTACTAGTTTCCTTCTTACATTGAATAAAATACAATTTCATGTAGAAAACAGAAAATCTACTTTCTCACAGGATGACGGGATGTACTAACTTTTGAAAGAATGCACTCCTCTGTGGAAATCAGGAAATCACTTTGCTCTAATTTTAACCATTTCCCCCATATACACAGGTCAAATTTACATCCATGTTTTTATGACATGATATAAATTTTCCTTCTGTTTCTCTTCCTTTACTCCTTATTTTTGGATACTCACAACACAGTCCCTTTTTCCTAAACTTCCCCTTGCCTGAAAAAAAGTCCTCATTTTGGCAAATTGAAGTTATTAGTTATAACTTTCCCCCACAACAACCCACATTCTGAGTCTTTGATTTTTGTGTCAATCCATTTTAATTGTTCATGTTTTCGACAAAATATACTATTAAGTTTTTCTCTTCCAGCCTTGTTCATTCTTCATATTAGCAAAATGAAACCATACACCAAAGTCCACCAAAAAGTGTCTGGTATCATTTGGGAAACTCATGGCGATGGGCTGAGTTCTAAGAGGCCCTAAGGATCCCTTAGCAACGTGAGTGAGGATGGACAGATTGGTCCCAGCAAACCACAGCAAATTGGGAACTGAGTTAGAGTGACTTGTAATTATGTTTCCTTTGATTTATTGACTTTTGGACTTGTATAAATATGATAGAATCTTACTTCCTCTCGGCCTATATAATCTGCTTCAAGCAACCAGATATTTCTCCATCTAATAGATCGAACAAGTTTTTATATAAACCATTGCAACTGAGACTATTAGTTTAGGGTTAGAGCTACTGTAGGAAAGTAAAATGCAAAAATGGGCAATTACCCACATAACTATGGGAAAACAGACACCCTTACTCAGTCATCCAAATATTTTAGTTAAAAGTAAGACTTGGCGCCGGCAATATACCCAAACCTTCACTTCAGGGTATTGGATTAAAACTACCTTGTTTGGAATATACAGCTATTCTTTAGGGTTGTTGTGATATTCTAATGAGATCATTAATAAGGAAGCACTATGTAAGTTATAAACTACAATGCCTCTACCCTGTCTTTGATTTTAAATTTCTCAGCCAAGCTTATTTATTAACTAGAGGCCCGGTGCACAAAAATTTGTGCACTCGGGGGGGGGGGGGTGAGGGAAGGTCCCTCAGCCCAGCCTATGCCCTCTCGCAGTCTGGGACCCCTCAGGGGATGACCACCTGCTGGCTTAGGCCCGCTCCCCGGGGGATTGGGCCTAAGAGGGCAATCAGACATCCCTCTGGCAGCCCAGCAGCCCTTGGGGGATGTCCACTTGCCAGCGGGGAGCAGGCCTAAACTGCAGTCGGACATCCTTAGCACTGCTGAGGAGGCAGGAGAGGCTCCCACCACCACCACTGTACTGGCAGCCATCAGCCTGGCTTGTGGCTGAGCAGAGTCCTCCCATGTGAGAGCGCCCTGACCACCAGAGGGCAGCTCCTGCATTGAGTGTCTGCCCCCTGGTGGTCAGTGTGTGTTATAGTGACCAGTCATTCCCAGTCTTTCTGCTGTTAGGATCAGTTTGCATATTACCCTTTTACTATATAGGATAGAAGCCTGGTGCACGGGTGGGGGCCGGCTGGTTTTCCCTGAAGGGTGTCCCGGATCAGGCTGGGGGGCCCGCTTGGGTGCCTGGCCAGCCTGGATGAGGGGATGATGGCTATTTGCAGCTGGTCACACACCCTTCAGGGTGGGGGTCCCCACTGGGGTGCCTGGCCAGTCTGGGTGAGGGGCTGAGGGCCGTTTTCAGGCTGGCAGGTGATTGAAGCTCCCAAATCTCCTTTTTTTCTTTCTTTTTTTTTATTCTGGGATTTATTTACCTTCTATGGCTGTCACTGAAACTGAGAGCTGGCTTTAGCTCTGAGGCTCGGCTCCAGCTCTGAGGCCTCAGCTGCTGAAAGCAGGGATCTGGGTTTGTTTGGCTTCTATAATTGAAACACTGTTGCAACTACAGCTCTGAGGCCCGGCTGGCTGAAAGCAGGTTTCTGGGGTTTGTTTAGCTTCTATAATTGCAACATTGTTTCTTAGAGTGCAGCTCAGAGGCCGGCAGCAGCAGGCGGGGAACCTTGGCTTCCTCCATCACTGGAGCAAGCAAGCCTCCTATTCGCTTCAGCTGCCTGGCTGCCAGCCACCATCTTGGATGACAGTTAATTTGCATATCGCCCTGATTAGCCAATGGGAAGGGTAGCGAAGTTATGGTTAATTACCATGTTTCTCTATTATTAGATAGGATACTGACAATAGCTAAACCTGT